AAAATAACACGATAAGAAAATAGACTCACGTATTGTGTTTCCTCACGGTCCTAGTATCTCGGGATATGTACAACGGGAAATGATCGCTACAGTATTTTTTTCAAACGATCACGTAGCTCCTTCCACGACGAAAAAACAAGCGTCGGATTCGGAGGGACCTTGATCACAACGCCCACTCGAGGCATCTCCATCGCCACTCGCGCTGGATAAGATTCCGTGCGCCGAACTCGGGGTGTGCAATCGGCGCTCGGGTCTTGGACGTGCACATCTCCCTTTTGGTCGTGCTCACCACTATGCTTTTCGCCTGGTGGCAGAGACAAAGTCTCCGCGACGCATTCTCTGCCGCTACCAGTAGATTCCACGCACGATCGATGTCTCCGACGTTTGTTTGGCCTTGTCACTCACTGCGCCCGACTCATTTTATCGCTTGGACGCTTGATTTCTTGGTCTATGATGTGCGCTTGGAGCTGTAACAAAATTTAATCGCAATTAGTCAATCACTTGTCTTTAAATATGGCACATAGAGGAACGATCCTCGCCTATTGCGTCGTGCGGGGTTGCATTTATTCGTTAAATTTATCGATAAAGTAAGCTTGGGTCAGAATTCTGCATACGACAAATTAAGACTCTTACCAATTTCGTCCAGAATGCCCTGCAAAGTGTCGCTCGAAACGCGCGCAGGCTCGAAGGCTTTGTCGCGGTCGTCGTCGCTGGAAGACGAGCTACGTTTGAATAGGTCATCGAGGTCGTCTTCAAATGGTAACAACACGTGTCAACAAACCTCAAATAAAACAAGCAAGGTGCTAGATGTACGTACTGTCAGACATTGTTTGCGGAGTGCACCTTCCAAGGTTCGATTTTGTGTTCCGATCTTCTAGTGACGGGCGATTATCCTTCGCAGGAAAAGCGCGCGGAAACGTTCGCGCGGTGGCTTCTGACGCGTGGCGCGTTTCTCGAATGAGCCTCAAAAATCCAACGGCTACGATTTGTCGTAATTAGATGAGATTGTACTGTACGCGTCGGTTATTTTGGCGATATGACGGTAATTTTTACACACTTGAAAAATCAACGAAAACTGCTTTAATTTTGAAGCACCCTTATTGGTACTGTTTTTTGCAAAATTCCTCGAACAGCTTCTGTTCCGTTCGGTTGATAAAATATAAGTTTCTGACCGTCCGTTTACACCTCTACTCAGTAATAATTTGGTGATTTGGGCTTGTTAAACTCTTTTTGTAATATAATACAGTGAAAATGTGTCAAACACAAAATACAAGTTCGTTAGCTACGATTTGGGCATTGCGCACCCGATAGAGTGCACAATCAGATTAGCAGCCAAAAGCAAGCGACGAAATGCGGCTTTATGGTTTAGATTTTATTACTCCACTTAGTTCTTCCCTGTAGGAGCTACTAGAGAACTGTAGTTTCTGGAGTTGGAGTAAGCAATATCTAAGCAAAAATCCGGATTAGCCAATTTATAGATTTCCGTGTGGATATTTTGAGATGCTTCAATTTTTAACTCCAGTGGAGTTGTGTTCTAGCTCCAAGGAGTCTATTTTTGGAGCTACGGCTCGTAACCCTCGATTAGTTCCATAACCTCGGATAGCGCCGAAAACTACAGTTCTCTACTGTTCTCACCGCAGTTTATCCTTAAATTTGAGGTCTTAAGCAGCCCCTGCAGTAAGTCCAACCGCTGGAGATGCTCTTACAGTACAGTAGCCTTTGGCAGCAACGTTTTTGAACAACCTGCTGCCGATTCGCGTCATCCTTCATCGTTTTTCTTGCAAGTTTAGTTGTGTTGTTTTCTTCTGCCCTGCGTAACGTCAACCGACGATATAACACAACCGGTGTACAACGCGGTTCACTAATAATCCATTTACGCCGTGTGCTGATTATGCTGCGTGCATTCGTTTTTCTTTTGGTCGATAATACGCAATAGTCAAATTAAATCGAAACGATTAAAATTTTCGAGTCTTATTTTAAGACAAAGTATATCCATATATTAAAACCACCAATAGGTCTTCCAGTTAGGACAAATAAAACTCTTCCGAGTCCTAAACACGCTACTTTTAGGTTGGTATAAACTGCCTTTGAGACTTACCGCTTGAGATGCTCTAAATACATTTTATTAAAAAAAAAAGGTGCGGGCTATCGACAAGATTCCAAACTTCTGGAGCTGTGCTGGTGATGAACCTCGGTATTTATAGGGTCTTATGGTATTCGCAACGATCGGTCTTCAGTAGTCAAAGCGTGAACGGCTTCATGTCTGAAAATAAAGCGACAGCAATCAAACCAGTGGCGAGTATATCGATGACATGTAAGACGAAGTTTGGATCGAAAAATGAATGATTATTAATTATAGCATTGCTATACATCCAGCGTACGGACTAACTTACAGCCGTGATTCTTGTCTCAATTGATTTTGCGAGGTTGGCCAAATTTTCGTAGGAAATGCGTACGAAGTAGTATTTTACATGCACCATCTCAGATATCTTTTTGAGTCCTGTGTGTCCTTAAAGGGCATTTTCTTAATGACACTAGACGGCATACTATTAGGTACGGTACAGTACATGTACGTGAGCTTGATTACAACACTGAGCCAGGATCGTTATCTCGACCTTTTTATCTACGTGCATGGATAAACTTTATAATAAAGCGCTTTAAGAAGAATGGAAAAAGCAAGCTCCCATGTTTACCGTTTTTAAAGTAAGAAAATGGCGAATTACAAATTTGCTATAAACGCAATTTCGCTGACATTCTCGACATTTAAGAACAAAAAATAGGAACAAAAGCTAAGCAATACCAACTATGAAATGTTTTTCAGCCATGGTCATAAAGGTTGTATATGCGAGGATATTAATCATTGCTGGTATTTTTCCTCTGTCTACCATAATCGCTGCCAACGACGTTGGATTGGCTTCGTGCAATCGCATTGTAGCTTTAAACTCGCTCTCAAGTACTGTACAGTATTAGGGCGCATGCATTGGAAGTACCGGTATTCGAATAATCCAAATGACCTCAACTCCTGTTAGACCTTTTTCACTCTCTTCCATTTCGATTTTGGACACCAACAGCAAAAGAATACCAACGGAACAACTTTCTCCAGAACACCATGAAGAGCATCACTACCGCTTCATTTGCCTTGATATTGTTTGGAGTCGGCGCCGCCAGTGCCGATCATGCCAGTCGTGTACTGGTTCTTGGAGGAGGAGCAGTCCCCAGTGGCACGAAGACATACACGACAGGCATCCGCGCTACAATTGATGGCGACAGCTTTTGCGGTGGATCACTGATCTCTCCCACACATGTTCTTACCACAACGGCGTGTATTGGTTATACCAAGCCGGCGAATTGGGTGTCTGTGGGTACGCACTACCTAAACGGCACGCACGACGGGGAGCAGATCAAAGTAGTATCGGCTCAAAACCACACGGGCTTCAACAGCACCAGCGGCTCGTATGATGTTGCTTTGCTGAGGTTAGAGAGGCCCAGCAAATTCATGCCCGTGAAGCTTCCTGCTGCTGACGACTCCGATGTCATCCCCGGTATGCGGTCCAACCTTGTCGGATGGGGTTACACCAGCTACCCCAACGGGACCAAAGCCTACGAGCTACAGGGGGTGGGCCTGGAGGTCTGGAGCAACACAGACTGCGCGCGGATCTACTCTTTAGACGACACGATGGTGTGTGCTGGAGGGGGTGTAGGAAAAGATTCTTGCAACGGCGACACAGGCGGGCCGTTGATCAAGGAGCGTGGCCCTGGAGATGAAGATGACATTGTCGTCGGCTTGGTGAGCTGGGGATCCCGAATGTGGTGTGGGGTACCCCGCAGTGTATTCGCGTGTGTCGAAAGCCTTGGAATGGATCAACTCGGTCACTAAGGGGTAAGTAGTGAAATCGTTGCGATCACAGTATTGAGATGCCGGACGTATTTCCTGTCACGTTTTGAAAAGGAAAATTATAGTGTACATGTAGCAGATTTCGAGATTTGTGGTATCAGAACCGCCAAGCCAAAAGTAATAAATTTTCTTCACAGCGCTCAGTTGTTGCACCGTTTTATTAATATCAGTACCGGTAATACTATGTAGTACATGCGACTGGCTCCTGAGTGGATGGTGTGACTAAGTAGAGATCGACCGACCTACGAGGCGAATTCCGGTATACGCTTTTGGGGCGATAATTTCTTGTTTCCAGCAAATGTAGAGCATGCATCAAGGGAGCACAAAGCCTGAACAAGCGCGTACATGTAGTCACTATAGTACATGTATCACTCAAATGCTGCCTCTGTACCCCCAGCTGAACGTGAGCGGCAGAGGCCGGGTGATCCGTGACAGGCTTGGATACAGTACACGGATCCACGTTCTCGCATGTACCCTTACGGCGATCCTGTCCCAAAGCTCACAAGCGCATGAAAATGCTTTCAAAATCGTCGATTCCAACACTACATACACCCAGACACGCCTACATGTACGACGTGATGGCGCTTCTAGATCTAAAGACGAAAATGTAGTTTGATGGTATTATATTAATAGACAGCGACGGCATTGCTTGGGTAAATACCAGTGAATGAATCCTTATACTGTACAACACAAGTCGCTGAACAGAGACTGGGGCAACACATTTAAGTGGGTAGCTCTTCAACATCACAGTGAGCTCGGATTCAGGTACACTCGTCGCTTCGTCGGGCTAGGCATTTGCATCAGCGGAGCGCTGTGAAGCGGTGCAAAGCACAAGTTTGCGATACTTGCCGTGATGTATCTGCATTTTCCCATCTGCTGCAGTGTATCCAAACCTCGTCTACGATTCTTTAGCGATATACAAAGGAGGTGCCCCTTTAAAAGCCACAGCTGCACCGATAGCAACTTGCGTGATCCATGTATCTCCGGCGGAAAGGAGAGATGGTAAAGAGTGCTCCACCACGGATACTCCGGTTCCAAAGCGGTGCATGCGTTGCGATCGCCACCGACAACGCTTCATTCTGCAATTTGCCTTGCATCGCACAGAGCCCCAACAAAAGGATCTTCTTTCGCTAAAAAGACATTTTGACGATGGTGACCACTACCGCTCAGTTCGCGTTGCGCTCTCTGCAGTCGCTCTTTGCGCTTCTAGCCATCATCTTCACCTGGGGTGGCTACGTCAAGAACGACGACGGGCAACTCGGTGGACTCTCACCGGAATTCAGTATCCTGATGAATTACACGGCGCTCCTGACAGGGCTGTACTACGTGCTGCCGGTCAAGGTCTACAAGTGGACAACCGTAGCACCGTCGACCTTGTTCCAGCGCCTAACAGACGGTGCCCTTGTGGTGCTTTTGCTCCTTAGTGGCATTCTACTGTGGGCTTCGTCCGGTGTCAAGGACTGCTCCGAGAAAAATGACGAGTATGAGGCGTACGCCGGTCTGCAGCTTTTCCGTTGCGGTAATTTAACGATGGGCGTCATCTTCACGTTCATCACCTTCGCACTGTTCCTCGGCTCGCTGGTCTGGGGTTTCTTTGGTAACAACTCCACCGGCCAGGCCGAGGTTGGAGCTAGCTACGCTGAGGTCACGACTCCGAGTGCTGCACGTGCTGAGGCTTACTCAGCCGCGGATTCACGCCATCCGGTGCTGGCCATCGCTCGTCGCGGTAGTCGCTTTATTCAGTTTGTGCTTTCGCTCATCATCTTTATCAGCACTGTGGCGGGATACAAGCACTACTTCACGGGTCGCTTCATGAGCCCCGTCGCCATGTTCATGGTGCTTGTGTCGTGGAGCTGCGTCCTGTACACGCTCTTCCATCTCGTCGTCGTCGACATCCTCAAGAAGTCGCACCGTCCGAGTGTGAGCGTCGAACGCGTCGTGGACCTTTTTCTGAGTGCTCTTCTGTTGCTGTTCGCAATTCTCCTCGCAGCGTCGCACCAGGTTGACCATTGCGACACCATCAATGCCAAGTATGAGGCGGACGCGGGTTCGCTTGGCGGCACCAGCGTCTACCGCTGCGGCAGTCTCACGCGCGCCTACGTGCTGGCATTCATCGACTGCATCTTCTTTCTGGCCACCTTCGCGCTCAGCTTCGGCGGCTCCTGCGACAGCGAGCCCGTCCTGCATCACGTCGACGTCGAACCTGGCCAGCAGTAGTTCGCGTACAGTACAACTTCAACTTGCCTAACCTTTTTCTACATCCACTCTCTTGACGGCGTCGCTAATACATGTAACACGTACTGTACTTCGAAGTAAGCAAACACCAAGACCGATAAAGATACATGTGTTAGCTTATCTTTAAAGTTCTTTTCAGATGTCTAAACATCAAATTGGAGAAGAAATCCGTTTTACTTTTTTTTTATTTTCTTTCGCGTGACAATAATGACACTGCATGCTGTCTGCGTACTACATGTAGACCGCTTTAGCTACTGTGAACACTACTCATGCTGACTCAATATCCGACACAAGAGATCAAGTGTTTGAGCAAACAGAAGGGATTCCCTCTGTACTGTACACGTCACCTTGTCTGACACGCTTTACACTTGCTGGCCTGCGTCCGAAGCGTGCGTCTCACCCGAGTGGTTGCTGTCGGCATCGCTCGAAGTCGAGGTGGAGCGGTACAGGAAGCTCAGCGCGAACGTCACAAGGTACAGAGCCACCGCGATGAAGCTGAAGATGTAGCCAGTGTTCATGCTGCCGCAGCGGAACAGCGTCGAGCCGTGGTATACCGCAAAGGACGCGTTTGTAGTGGAGCAGTCCGAGACTTGCTTCGACGAGGCGAATAGGATACCGGCAACCAGGAGACCAGCAGCAATCAGGACGTCCATGAAGCGCTCGACCCCCACAGTCGGGTGACGCGACAGCTTCAGCGTTTCAACTGCCACCATGTGCCACAGCGAATACAGGACACCGCTGTAAGCCATGAGAATGGCATATGTCGCCTTGGGCTCAAGGTACTGGCCCGTATAGTAGTGCTTGTAGCCCAGCACAATGCACACAAGTGCCACCACAGAGCACCCGAACTGGAGCGTACGGCCAGTGCAGCGAACGATCTTCAGCCCCGGGTGCTGGGCGTCCAAGTCCACCGTTGCCTGTGCGCTCGACTGTCCGTCCTTCTTGCCTGGAGTGGTGGCAATTGCGTAGCCGTTGTCGTCAGTCAGAGCAGTCTGCAGATTGTCGCCATGCACCGACTTCCACGTGTCACGCACGAAGCTCCACACCAGCGTCACCAGGAACAGTCCACACGTTACAAACGTCAAGACAATGGCAGTGGTCATGTTGCCACAGCGGAAAAGTGCCGAGCCGTGGTAAGTCTCGAACATGGTGCTGTACGACGAGCAGTCCTTAACTGCGTCGGACTTTGCGTGCACGATACCGGCGACCAGGAGCGCGATCGCCAAAGCAGCATCAACGATGCGCTGGTACAGCACCCTGGGGGCGCTGGAGGTCAGCTTGAGCACGCCAACCGGAATGACGTAGTAGAGACCGCAGAGCATGGCGGAGTAGCAGGCGATGGTGGTGTAGATGGCAGATCCGCTGCTCAATTGACCAGACGTGAACTTGATGTATCCAAGTGAAGTGAAGATCATGGCCAGCACGGCACACAGCGCCTGAAGCGCACGGACACCGAGGCGACCAGACGAATGTTACGCAGTGGTCATCACTAAGGTTTGATGCTGAGAAGCTCGATCGATGTAAAGCTAATAGCAGAATGAGGCTCTGGAAGCCGAAGCTTTTGTTAATCGAGCGATGCAGCTATTGGTGGTTGCCGACTAAAGTCGCCTCAGGGTAGAGCCCCATTTTCAATTACTGGTTGCGACACCCACCACCTTCGGTTTGAGGGTCGTATCCTCTTCTTCCTTTAGCGTACAACTACGCGTGTCCTCACGCACAATGATTTGCTTCAAGGCACGAGCCTCGATCAAGTGACCGTTGACCGCTCATCGCGTTGCTCCGATGTGAATCAGTGTTAAAGTGCTAGTCTATTCGACCCAGCCTATTAATCTTGACGATACATGTGCGGAAATCCCACGGTGGTCTCGCTGTACGACACTGGTTGGTCGCTGCCACGAGTACAAAGCACGCATTGCTCAGCAAACCGGACGGTGGCCGTTAGGGCTCCCGATTATGGCATGGTCTTTTCAATTATTTCTTATGAAATCATAAAATTATTTATTTCATCGATTACCTGGATGTTATTAATAATTTATTTGCTTAAGGAATCATCCGACATAATTTATGAGCAAAACCTCTTTATCATTATGTACCTCTCACAACCAACCATGACTTTTCACTACTGTTCTTAAACTCTTACTTCTCTAAGCCAGCTATACGACACAGCTTGCACACGTCCTCACTTTTTAATGTGAGCAACTCGAACAAAGCCCCTCGCTAAACTACTTCTAACCTTGTTGAGAGGTTCTTTAGCGACACCAGGACGACGTACGGGCAAGAGCGCCACAGCTTGCAACCTATTACATTAGAAATGGTGCTGTTCTTACGCCAAAATGGTGAGTATTGGTCAGCTCAGACTGTCGACGAGGCCACTCGCTAATTATTAACATGGTGCTGGTTTGCTTTACATTATGCTCTTATTTATTGTTTGTGCGCAGTACATGACATAATGTATGTGATGACACTAGCTGCCCAATGCCATTATTTATGGTTAGAGAGGGTTCCCATTAAATAACAATGCCATAATCGGGAGCCCTGAGTGGCCGTTGTTGAACAAACAACTTGCTCGTGTCTTTGAGCTGGAATTGAAAGCCAAAGGACCGCTACAGGTGTCATAGATGAACATGATAGATGTTGACCCCCCATTCAAGTTCTTGCTTGCACTCTATTACCTCTATGTACACGTATAAGCCTCTTTCGTCGACACTTCGTCCTCCAAAAGTGCAGGTAGCATCAGGGCGCCACGATTGATTCATGCGGGATCACATTGCACTCCTTGAAAACGATTGGTGCGAGGCGCGAGGTTACATGTACTGTAGACGACAATCTCGAATGGGTTAGAGATGCGTCTCGTTATCAGATGCCTGCAGCCTGCACGGCACTGCAGAATCTGCAGTGCAGATGACGCGAAAGACTGAGCTGTTGACTTCCATTCATCGTTCACCGACATCTGGATGAAAAGCGCGGTATTAAAAAATAGTGAGTCATGTACGCACTGTGCCAATGATGATGAAAATTGACCGGGAGAGTAATCGAACCTCTTGCTTGTATTATTGTGCAAAATTTCCGTGTGCGGTCTTTAAACAATACCGCATCGCCCCAGCTTCGATTATGGCCAATGGAAGCGCTTTTTCTAAAACAGATGGCGTCACCCTAATTATAGGCAGCAGTCTGATTGGGGCTGCCAACTTGCCACAAAAAAAAGTCTGATTGGGGTTGATAAAGAGGCAATAGGAAGAGCGACGGCATACACATAGCTAGAGATATCGACCGAAATGCTACTAACAGCTCTCATCAGCGGACCACTTCAAAAATTGTGACGGGGTCACACAGCACCTTGCGCTAGAGGAAGTTATCTTCCGAGAGTATACAAACTCTCAGTGAACGGCAGTTCACAGGTCCCCTCTTTAATTAAAGAGAGCGAAGTGACCTAAATAAGGTAGATTGTAAACTGAGTATATTTATAGGTAGGTTAAGTTTGAGGTTAATACATTACCTATAGAAATGCAATGTCATAAAACCAATGGTTGGTTTTGAATGACCTTGGTACCTTGTACCAAATATCCCGGAGTATGACATGTCATACTCCTGAAGTGTGGAGTGTCACACTTCATGTAACCAGGGTACACTTAGTGCTACGTACCCCGTTACATCCTCCCCCACTTAGGTTCGGTTTACCGACCAATCAGAATGAAGAGATGTTCGTCACAAACTCTCATTCTCAAAGTCGAAAACCATCGACTCGGCCGCGCGAGCGCGGCGGAGGCTCACTTTACAGTTAGAGCCTCGAGCAGCAACCTGTGCGCTCTTCGTCAAGGTCTCCACTTCGACCGTTAACATGCCTCGTGGCACTGCTAAGAGCGGTGCTAAGACACGCTCCAAGGCTGCAGCCGGTAAGGCGCAGGCCAAGAGCACTAAGCCTCACGGCAAAGGCTCTGCACTTAAGGAGGCTACTCAGGTGGCCTCCGAGGCGATCAGATCCTCGGGTGACGCGGCTGCGGACAAGCGCGCAAGCAGGCGCCGCAGTCCGTCGCCCTCGTCTTCAGACAATCGTCCGAACCCTCGGTTCGTAGAACGTGAGTTCAACTCGGGCAGTGAGGACGATGCCGAGTCCGAGAGCACTCATGATGCTCCTGCGGGCTCTGTGGGAGGGCACAGCCCAGTGCCCAGTGAGCACAAAGAAGACAGCGTGCAGTCGTCCGCTAGTGATCACGGTGATCACAGTCCCAGGACCTCTGTGCGCTCTGAGAGTCCGGCCGTTAAGGCTAAAGGGCACTCCCAAAGCCGGTGGCGATGAGGAAGGGAGTCCTCGCAAACGTCTCTCGCTTGCCGAGGGTCTTGCGCGCGCTAAGGCCTCTAAAGCCGAAGGCGCCAAGCCCTCAAAGAAGCGTACCGCCTCTAAGTCTCCACTCCGCGAGGAGAAGGAGACTCGACGCTCCTATCAAGAGTCTCTTCGACTCCTCG